TTTATGAATTTCAATTATTCTTCAAAAGACAACTTTCTTTTTTTTTTCTTTTTTTTTTTTCTCTTTTCCTTTCTCTTTGTTTTTCTCTTTCCTTTTCGTCCTTTCAAAAAAACATTTTTTTTTTTTCTTTCTTTATTTTTTCTTTCTTTCTTTTTTTTTATTTTTTTTTTCTTTGTTGAATTTTTTTTTCATTAAAAAAATCAAATATTCCTTTCTTAGCCTTTTAACTAGCTTCTATTTCATCTTGCACTTCTAAATCTTATTATTTAGTCTTTTCTTTTTTTTTTTTTATTCTTTTTAGTCTCCACCTTTTTTTAATCTTTGCAATATTTTTAAAACGACAATTTAGATATACTAAAAATTCAATATCCTGAATTCTTATAGTGCCCTTTACTATTTTAAAAAATTTAACATTTATGACTGTGGATTTATCAGACAAAGGAAAAATTTTGAAAAAACCGTTCAATGCCTCGATATGTAATTACAAAAGAAATGCCCATGATTTTTTTAAGGGCCAAAAAATATATAAATAAATCAAACAAACATATTACAACTAGGCTATTTCGTAACAAAAATAATTTTAATTTCTTCAAAACAAAAACAAAATATCTACAGCCCTTTTAGAAATTAATTTTCTAATAGCGATTGAATATTTCAAAGGTTTTATTTTGATGAATCTCCTTATTTTTCTGTTTTGTTTTCTTATAGTCCTTCGTTTTTTTCTTTTTTTTTTTGTCTGTTTCTTTTTGTTAGGTAATTCTGTTTAAAATAAGAGGTTGTCAAATTTCTAAATTTAATCATCCGGAAAATTTCAGGGTTTATTTTCAGTCCAATAAAAAAATGAGAAAATATATCGTTCGAGGAAAACTTAGCAAATGATGACTGTGTGATCGTTCCAGAAGGGATATAGCATCTTTAATTAATTTTAAAATCTTGTTTTCATTTAATCGAAACGCAATTTTTCTTTATATTATTAATAAAACTAAATAATCGTAAAATGTAATCATAATTTCAGATTTACTCTTTTTTTTCTCCTTTTCAAAAAATTTTTCATTTCTTTTTATTTCTTCCTGGTCTAATTTTCGATTCTCGTCTAACTTTTCTTCTCTTTCTTCTTCTTCTTCTTCTTCTTCTTCTTCTTCTTCATTTTATATTTCTTCCTTTTTATACTTTTTATACTTTTTCTTCTTCCTTCTTTTTTCTTCTTCCTTCTCCTGTCTTATTCTTCTCCTCCTTATTTTCTTCTTTTTTTTTTTTTAAAAAGACAAAATCTTCATATTTCATATTTTATCCTTTTCTTTTTTCTTCTTTTCTCTATTCATCTCCTCCTCCTTCCTTCTTCTTCTTCTTCTTCTTCTTATAAAAACATTACAATTCTTCTTTAATCCACGATTTTCTTTCCTTCTTTTTCATTTTCTCCGTCCTTCTTTTTATACTACTTCTTCCTTCTTCTTTTTATTCTTTTTCTTCCATCTTCTTTTTTCTTTTCGATCTTCTTCTTTTTTCTTATTTCTTCTTCTTTGTCTTTTTCTTTCTCTTCTTATTTTTCTTCTTCCCTTTTCTTCATATTTCTTGTTTTCTTCGTTTACTTTTTTTATTTTCTCCATTCATCTCATTTTTCTTCTTCCTTCTTCTTCCGCTTCTTCTAAATCTACTTCTTCTTCGTCTTTCTTTTATTTTCCAAATTTTTCTTTTTTCTTCTTCATGTTTTCTTCTTCCTAAATTTATTTATTTTACTTCTTTTTTTTTTTTTTATATTTTTCCTTTTCCTTTTTTTTTTATTTTTCTTCCTGTCAAACTTCCTTTTTCATTTTGACCTTCTTCAAAAATTTGCCTTTTTCTTTTTCCTTCATCTTATTCTTCTTCTAAATTCAAAAATTTAATTTTCTTGTCTATCTACTTGTGTTTCATCTTCTCATTTTTGTCTCTCTTCAATATCCCATTCGTTGTCTTTTTATTCGATCTTCCGTCTTCTTTCACTTTTCTTTCTTCCTTCTCTTTTGCCATTTTACCTTTTTCCTATTTATCTTGTTTCTCTTCTTCGTTTTCGTTTTTCTTCTAAAAAAAATTTTTCTTGTATTTATCTTCAAAGAAAAATTCTCTCTTTGAAATTTTTTCGGGGAATATTTCTATAATTATTTTATTTATTACCTTGTTTTCACTTTTTCTATATTTCTCTTCTTCATTTCTTTATTTTTCTTTCACATCCTTCTCCACCTATTATTCCGTTGCCCTTGTCTTTATCTTAAATTCTTATAGAGCATTATTTTAACGGATATCAAAGAGTTGTCAGGACTCAAAAAATTTCTCTTATACAATTCTGAATCTCTATATCAGGGTTTTGGTCTAATTTATATACATTAACTGGCTCTAATTTGGGATCCAGAAAATTCTCTCTTATATCCGGGTTTCTCTTATATAAGGTTTCTCTTATATCCTGGGTTTTATAATCTTTATTTTTCTTTGTTCTCCTTTTCCATGTGCCATTACACTTCTGATATACCAATTTTCTTTTCTTCTTCTTCTTCTTCTTCTTCTTCTTCTTCTTCTTTCTGCTCCTCCTCCTCATCCTTCTTCTTGTTCATGACTTCCTTCTTCTAATTTATAATTTTTGTTTTTGATTTTTCTGTATAAATTTTTTCTTCTTGTTCTATTTGAAATCATCTTCCTCCTCCAACTCTTCTTTCTTCTTTACTTTCTACTTATTTTCTTTTTTCTTCCTTCTTCTTATGCCTTATTCTTCTATATCTTATTCTTCCTTCTTCTTTTTCTTCTTCATTCTTCTATTTCGTCTCCCTTTTTTCTTTTTCTTTTCTTCTTCCTCTTCCTCCTTCTCCTCGTCGTTCTTCTCCTTCTTCTTTCTTCTTTGTTTCCTTCTTTTTTCTTATTACTCCTCCTCTTCCTCCTCCTCCTCCTTTGTTCTTCTTTTCTTGTCCCTTCTACTTTTTCTTTTTACTTTTTCCTATTCCTGTTCCTCTTCCTTTTCCTCTTCTTCTTCTTCTTTTTTCTTCTTTCTTCCTCCTTCTTATTACTTATTTTTCTTTATCTTCTTACATTTTGGAGGGAATCCTTTCTTTCTTTTTTTTTCTTCTTAGTGAGTCATAAAACAGGTTGATTGAACCATATAATTATTAACATTCCTAAGCACAAACCGGAAACGGAAACTGCTATAATTTTACATCCTTTACTTTAGTACTAATTTCAGATAAGATCTTAAACGGATTTGCGATATCTTTCCCTGCAATATGCGACGGGATTTGCGCCTAAAAAAAGTTGATCCTATATATTCATTATAATACTTTAAAAAAATTTTTTTTCTTATTCTGAACCTTATTTTTTAGCTATTTAAAACCTGGGCAGTAATATTTATAAATATAAAATAATTTTAACGTTTCTAGTTTTTTGTTTTTCAGGTTTTTACATATCAAAATGTCAAAAAATCGATAAAATCTGGAAGTTACTGAATAGTGTATTAGTGGTTATAATTTTTTTTTATTGATACGATCCTACATTAGACAGCGTCTAAATCATCATTAACTCAATCTATCAGCGGATATTTACATATTGTAAACATTTGTTTAGATGTAAAGATACGATCAAATTAATACATATTTTTTCAAATATTTACGGTTTTGTTGGAAAAAAATTGAAATAGGAAATTTTGAAAAATTCAGAAAAAAAGCCTTTTGAAAAGCCTCAAAATGACAGGGAATTTGATTCAGAATATCTTTGGTGGTGGAAAATTTTAATAAACTAGAATTTTTTAAAACACGCTGAAATGTTGAATTCTTCACAGTATTTAGTATTGTTGAAGTAATCGCTAACATTTTTTTATCAGATTTACAAACTCTAAGTTTCATTCAATTTCGCAAACCAATGAAATTTGAAAAAAAATATTTGGCTTGGAAAAATATATGACTAGGAAAAATTTGTCTTGGAAAATGTTGTAGAGTAGTCACACAGTGGAGTCTTGTATTTTACTAAGTCGGTCCTAAAAAAGGTTCGACGTACAAAACGTTAGGAACTTGAAATAATAGTTAATGACGCAGCAATCTAATTGTGGTCGTTGATACTTTAATGTCCGACATCGACTGACTCACTCAACTCCACTGAGCCCAACCGGCGACCGCTACTACTACTACTACTTATTATGTGTGGGAGAGTCTATTACAATAGAATAGGTAATGTTCCGGTATAACAGAAGAATACTTTGACAAAAACCGTACGCAGCCTAGTAAAACCAACATTACTTTCTACCCACTTACTTATCTGCATTTCTCCGCAAAATTGGGCGATAAACTTCATCCGCGTCCAGGGTAAGACGATAAAATGCGTCCAATTTCAAGGCCTCTGATCAGGAGGTTTTAGGGCGATGGGACCACCTCTTAATTGCTGGTGTTCCCAGGTCCACCCTTGTTTTGTTTGGTAGCACCTGTTAGGGTCAAAAGCTATGGGCAAATAGTTAACCCCTAAAACTGAGGGTAAAAAGCATTATAAATTCATTGAAAAAAAAAAAATATTTTTTTAATACCATTAAATGCTGTAATAAATTTTTAGCAGAAATAAATGTTTGAAGGCAAAGAAATATTACCAACAATACGTTTTTGAAAAAAAAATTTTATTACCAGCAATAGGTTTTTGAAAAAAAATATTACCATTTATACGTTTTTGAAAAATAATATTATAGACCAGCTATAATTTTTTTGAAAATTTAATATTACCAGCTATATTTTTTGAAGGAAAATATTAACAGAAATAGATTTTGACAAAAAAAAATAAATAATTTGGAAAAAAAAAAGTTGTGTTCAAAAATTTAATATTAAAAATTTTGTTGATATGCCTTAAAAACAAAACAAATGTGGGTTTTGAAAAATGAATATTTTAAAACGTGTACGGATTTTTAACGGAATTCACAAATTTTATATATAGATATTTAAAAATATTTAAAAATATTTTTTAGTAATGAAATGCTTTGTCGTAGGACGTATGACGATAATAGCTGACTACTACCGTTTAGTTAAGCCAATAAAATTTCTTAATCAAACCCTAATACAGAGTCCTGTTAATGTCCACAGAGACCTCAACATTAGACTTTCTGAGTTTCTGGCGATGAATGCATAATCTCAACCTGTTAAATTTTCTTGAACAGGATGGGTTTATTTTCAAACTCTAGTCATGAAAAAAGTTCTTCGGAGATGGTTCCTTCTACAGTTTGTTAAAAAGACACAAGTGTTTTCAATCAGACCACAATTTATTCTTCCAAAAAATTTTCCAAAAAGAAAATTGGGACCACTTATAATTCGATAACTTTTGAAAAAATAAATAAACAAATTGATTAAATTTTCGAACATATTTAAGAAAAAAAAAAGGTTCTGAAAACAAATGTCTCTTCAAATAAATAAGTTTTTTGTCAATGCGATCATGTATCGAAAATACATAACTTTTTAAAGATTTTTCCATTAAAGTACGTCCATTATTTCTTAATATTTCCACCAGTTGCCATCCAAGGCTAAAAAAATCTTTCCTGCTGTTCCCAAACCAGCCTGGGGAGGGCAAAGCATTTTTTTACAGGAAAATGTTAACTATGTTGTCAGTTAATGAATGAATTATGTTTTGATTTGAATAGTTTTTTCAAATCGATTTTCATAGAAAATTTTGACTTAATCTAAAACATAGCCTTTCTTTAGAACATTTTTTTTTTTACTGCGAAAGACCAGTTAAAAACTTAGGAATGATCTTTCGACAAAAATATTTTTACACGAAGCAAATATTTTCTTGAAAATTTCATAACTTTCCCTTCGTTTGTAATTAAATTTCAAAATAGTTTTCTCTGATTTTTTTCATAATACATAATTCAAAAACATTATAATATATGCGTATCATGTTTAGGCGATCATTTTTTTAAAATTACTGACTTTTATGGATAAGGCCGCATTAAACGAAAAATATTAAGAAGTGCATTAGACCAGTTGTTTTAAGGCTTTTTTAAAATTTTTTTTCGTCCATGCGCATGATTAGTCACAATTTCAACAAACCCATTCCCTAAAAACGTTATGAAAAGCGTCACATATAATTTTTTTTTTCCGTTTTTTTTTATATATTTATTCAATTTTTATTCAATATATAAAAATTTTTATCTAATATCAATATATATTTTTATAGAACTATTTTTTCTCTCTCTCTAACTTTCTTTCTCTGTTTTCAACACGTTCATAATATATATATATATATATATATATATATATATATATATATATATATATTAATAAACAAAAAAAGGTGAGAAAGTCAAATTGGAATGGATGAATATTTTGAATATATTTAAAATACGGGTTACTAAATTGTTTTTCTTGAATTTTTCGAGAACAGACTGAAAAACATGTTTATTTTGAACATATTTTCAGTTATATATATATCTATTTTGTTTAAACAATTTTTTTTATTGTGTGTATTTATCAAATTTTTCTTTACTTTATTCACATATTCATTTTTAAAATTTTTATATATATATAAATATATATATATATATATATATATATATATAGATATATATATATTTGTTTTATTTGTTTCTCTATATCAAAAGAAAATAAATGTCATGGCGGGCTATTCTGTTTTTGAAATTAATATCCCATTTTTCTTGCAGCATATACTGTCATTTGGAAGGAACGAAAAACCACGATAAACATCAATTATAGTTGGCTTTTTTTCATTATTTTTTATACAAATATCGCGAGATATGGAAGGAATGCTTCTGATGTGGTTTTTCAGGGAGAAAAACAGAAAATTGATGATTGAATTAATATTTGCAGCATTAATTGAAAAAAGGAACATTATTCATTGTGAAATTCGGCTGCTTTAATATTTGCAGGCATTGGGAAAGGGTGAATAATTGATCGTACGTGAAAATTGCTATAAATATTTTGAGAAAAGAAATTGTTAATTGATATCGGAAAACAATCTAAAACAGTTAAAAGGATCAGAATCAAAAATAAAAAAGATAGAGAAAATTTGAGGATCATTATTTTAATAGGAGAAATGAAATTAGGGTCAAAGTATAAGGTTTTCTTTTCAAAGATTTGTCATTTGGAATTTTCTTTTTATTTCGCATTGAAATTCTGACTGGGCAAAAAGGTTTATTTATTTTTTTCTAATTTTTTGTTTGGAAACAACTCTCTGTAATTTATGAGGGGTCAATTTTTTTTTCCTTTCCATTTTGAAGAAAAAAAAAAAAGAACGGAAAGGTCTGGCATTACTAGAAACATTCTTCACAAACTGATCCAGGTTTTTAAAAGGAATTCCAAATTAAAATGTTTTTAAAAATAGACAAGATTTATTCCCTTTTTTTTTTTTTTTTACATATATACAAACTCAATCTCATTGGGTTCAGTTTTTTTATTCTTTCTTTCTTTCTTTCTTTCTTTCTTTCTTTCTTTTCTTTCTTTTTTTTTCTTTTTCTTTTTTATTTTTCTGTTCAGTTTTAAGTCTTATTTGAACTGTTCTTACTTTTCTTTGTTTTTTTTTTTATTTTTTCTCATTCGGTTTGGTTGATTTGCCTTTCCAATTTTCTTTTATTTTTTTTTTCTTTTTTTTTCTTTCTTTTCTTTCTTTTTTTTTTTTCTTTCTTTTTTTTTTCTTTCCGTTCAGTTTAAGTCTTATTTGAACTGTTCTTACTCTCTACCTTTTTTTTTCTTTTTTCTCATTCGGTTTGGTTGATTTGCCTTTCTTTCTTTCTTTTATCTTTCTTTTCTTTTTTTTTTATTTTTCTTTTTTTCTTTCTTTCTTCGTCTTTTTTTTCTTTTTTTATTTTCACTTTTAGTCTTATTTGAACTGTTCTTTCTCTTCCTGATTTTTTTTCCCTTTTTTTCTCATTCGGTTTTTGAAAAATTTTTTTCTTTCTTTTTTTCTTTCTTTCTTTTTTCTTTCTTTCTTTCTTTTTTTTTTTTCTTTTATTTCTTTTCTTTCTGTTCAGTTTAAGTAAATTTAGTGGAACTGTCTTTTATTTCCATTTTTTTTTTTTTTCTCATTTATATTGATTTGCCTTTCTTTTTTTCTTTTATTTCTTTCTTTTCTTTCTAAATTTTCTTTCTTTTCTTTCTTTTTTTTTTTTACAAATTTCTTTCTTTCTTTTCCGTTTTTAAGTCTTATTTGAACTGTTATATTTAATTCTCTTTTTTTTTTTTTTTTTTTTTTTCTCATTCGGTTTTTGGTTGATTTTTTTTCTTTCTTCTTTTCTTTTTTTTCTTTCTTTCTTTCTTTCTTTCTTTCTTTCTTTCTTTCTTTCTTTCTTTCTTTCTTCTTTCTTTCTTTCTTTTCCGTTCAGTTTATAAAATTTATTTTTTTCTGTTTTTTTTTTTTCTATTTGATTTTTTTTCTTTTTCTCATTAGAACAGTTTTTTGCCTTTCTTTTTTTTTTTTATCTTTCTGGAGTTTTTTTTTTTTTTTCTTTCTAAAATTTCTTTCATTTTTTTTTTTACTTATTTCTTTTTCTTTTCTGTTCAGTTTAAGTCTTATTTGAACTGTTCTTTCTTTTTTTTTTTTTTTTTTTTTTCATTCTTTTTTGATTTTTCTTTCTTTCTTTCTTTTTTTTTTTTCTTTCTTTCTTTCTTTTTTCTTTCTTTCTTTCTTTTTTCTTTCTTTCTTTCTTTCTTTCTTCACTTATTTCTTTCTTTTCTGTTCAGTTTAAGTCTTATTTGAACTGTTCTTTCTCTCTACCTGTTTTTTTTTCTTTTTTTTTCAGTTTTGTTTGATTTTTTTTCTTTCTTTTCTTTTATTTTTTTTTTCTTTCTTTCTTTCTTTCTTTCTTTCTTTTTCTTTTTTAATTTCTTTTCTTTTTTTTTCTTTTCTGTTCAGTTTAATTTTATTTGAACTGTTCTTCTTACTCTCAAGAATGTTTTTTTTTTTTTTCTCATTTTTTTTCTTTGATTTGCCTTTCTTTCTTTCTTTTATCTTTCTTTCTTTCTTTTTTCTTTCTTTCTTTCTTTTCACTTATTTCTTTCTTTCTTTTCTGTTCAGTTTAAGTCTTATTTGAACTGTTCTTACTCTCTACCTGTTTTTTTTCTTTTTTCTCATTCGGTTTGGTTGATTTGCCTTTCTTTCTTTCTTTTATCTTTCTTTCTTTCTTTCTTTTTCTTTCTTTCTTCACTTATTTCTTTCTTTTCTGTTCAGTTTTAAGACTTAAAATAACTGTTCTTTTTTCTACCTTTTTTTTTCTTTTTTTCTCATTCGGTTTGGTTTATTTTCTTTTTTTCTTTTTTTTATCTTTTTTTCTTTCTTTTTCTTTTTATTTTCATTTTTCTTTCTTTTCTTTCATTTTTTTTAAAAAACTTTTTATCTTTACCTTTTTTTTTTTTTTTTTAGATTGTTTTAATTTTCTAATTTTCATTTTCTTTTCTTTTTTTTTTTTTCTTTCTTTTTTTTTTTTTTTTTTTTCTTTCTTTTTTTTTCTTTTTATTTTATTTGAAAACTTTTTTTTTTCTTTTTTTTTTTTTTTTTTAGATTTTTCAAATATTTCATTGCCTTTTTTCTTTTTTTGTTCTTTCTTTTAACGGGAAAATTTGAATTTCTTTCTTTTTATTAAATTTTTTTTTTTTTTTTTTTTTAAGTTTTATTTCTTTTTCGGTAAATGTATATTCTTTTTTTTTCTTTTTTCTATTTTTTTCAAAATTTTTTTTTTTAAAATAAAATTAATTTCTTTCTTTTTTTTTTTTTTTTTTCTTTCTTTCTTTCTTTCTTCAGATTTTTCTTTTTTTTTTTGAAAAAATTTCAGTTTAAGTCTTATTTGAACTGAATTCTTTTCTCTTTTTTTTTTTTTTTTTTTTTTATTTGGAAAAATTGATTTGCATAAATTTTTCTTTCTTTTTTTTTCTTTTCTTTTTTTTTCTTTCTTTCTTTTTCTTTCTTTCTTTATTTTTTTTCTTTTTTTTCCGTTCATTTTTTTTTTATATTTGTCATTGTTTTTCTTTCTACCAAATTTTTTTTCTTTTTCTCATTCGGTTTGGTTGATTTGAATCTTTGAGAAAAAAAATCTTTCTTGGATATTTTTTCTTTCTTTTTTTCTAAATTTTTTTTCTTTATTTTTATTTATTTTCTTTTCCGTTCTTTTTAAGTCTTATTTGAACTGTTCTTACTCTAACCTGTTTTTTTTTTTTTATGTTTCGGTTTAAATTACATTGCCTTTCTTTAATTTTTTTATAAAAATCTTTCTTTTTTTTCTTTTTTTTCTTTCTTTTTTTCATTTTCTTTCTTTTTTCTTTTTCATTTTATTTTATTTTATAAATTACGATTATTAAAGTTTTAAGTGTTTATTTGATAACTGTTCTTTCTCTCCATTTGCATTTTTAAAAATTTTTTTGTATCCGGAATTAAATTTGAAAAGATTTCTTTTTTTATTTTCATTTTTTCTTTTTTTGTTTCTTTTTTTTTTCTAAAAAAAAATTTTTTTCTCTGATTTCTTAGTTTTTCTGTTCAGTTTAAGTCTTTTTTGAACTTTCTTACTATCCTGTTTTTTTTTTTTTTTTCTCAGTTTTAGTTTTGGTTGATTTTCTTTCTTTCTTTAATTTTTCTTGAGAGAATTTTTTTTTTTTCTTTTTTTGATTATATTTTTTTCTTTCTTTCTTTCTTTTTTTTCTTTTTTGTTTTTTTCTTTATTTGAACTGTTCTTTTATTCTCTACCTTTTCTTTTTTTTCATTCGGTTTTTTGATTTCTTTCGTTTTTTTTTTCTTTCTTTTATCTTTCTTTCTTTCATCTTTCGTTTTTTTTTTTTTCTTTCTTAAATTTTTTCTTTCTTTCTTTTTTTTTTTGCTTGTTATTTCAAATCTTTCTTACTAACTTGTTCTTTTTTTTCTTTTTTTTTTTAAAAAGTTTTATTTCTTCTCTATTTCTTTTTTATTTATTCTTATATTATTATCATGTTTTTTTTTTAAAATCCAAAAATTTGAATGGATTTTTTTTTTTTTTATTTTTTTTATGAAATATTTTTTTTTTTTCTATAAGATCTTTGTTTGGTTCATTTTTCCCTTTTTTCTTTCTTTTTAATCTTTCTTTCTTTCTTTCTTTAGATTTTTTATGTCTATCGGATTTTTTTTCTATAAGATCTATATGGTGATTTTTTCCCTTTCTTTTTTTCTTTCTTTCTTTCTTTCTTTCTTTCATTCTAATTTTTTATGTCTATCGCCTTTAGGAAAAAAAAGATCTGCATATTTACTTTTTTTCAGGGAAAGGAGAAAAATTTCTTTCATTTTTATTGTCATCGCCTTTTTTTTTTCTATAAGACAAATTTTTTGTTTTTTCCTTTCTTTCTTTTTTTACAAGAAAATTTCTTTCTTTCAATTTCTTTCTTTTTTTTTTAAATCTATTTTTTTTTTTTTAAATTTAATTTGCACGGTTCTTTTTCTCCCTTTTTTCTTTCTTTTTTTTTCTTTTTTTTTTCTTTCTTTATTTTTATGTCTATCCTTTTTTTTTCTAAAGATCTGCATGGTTTTAATAAACTTTCTTTCTTTCTTTCTTTCTTTCTTTCTAATATTTTTTTATTGTCTTATATCTATTTTTTTATATATAAATAGAAAATATTTTTTTTTTTTTTTTTTCTTTCTTTTTTTTTTTCTTTCTTTTTTTTCTTTCTTTCTTTCTTTTTTTTCTTTTTTTATATATATTTTTATATTTTTTTTTCTATAATATTTATATTTTTTGAATTTTTTATCCCTTTCTTTCTTTAAATTTATTTTCTTTCTTTCTTTCTTTCTTTCTTTTTCTTTTTTTCTTTCTCCGGGAAATTTCTTTTCCTTTTTCTTTCCAGTTATTATTTAATTTTCCTTCTTTCTTATGATTCTCTTCATCTTTTTTCTTTAATTTTTTATTTCTTTTTTTTTCTTTTTTTTCATTTTCCTTCTTTATTTTTCATTCTATATTATTCCTTTTTTCTTTCTTTTCTTAAATTCTTTTTTTTATTTTTTTATAAAAATATTTGAAAACTTTCCTTCTTTCTGCTTAAAGATTCACTTTCGTTCTTCAATTATTTCAATTTAAAGAAAAGTAAAAAAGAATTTTTGTTTTTTTTTTTTTTTTTTTTTCTTTCTTTCTTATTTCTTTCTAAACTTTTCTTTCTTTCACCTTTAAAAAAATTTTTTTTTTAAATTTTTTTTTATCTTTTCTCTTGATTTTTTTCTCTTTATCTTAAATTCAAATACTTTCTTTCCATTAATTCATTCATTGACAACATGATTTATTTATTTATTCATATATCTGGTTCTTCATTTTTATTTTTGCTCAAATAGAAACGACCGATATTTAACTATCCCTGAACTAGTAAATGCTTTTCGACTCAAATAAAATCTACCAATATTTTACCGAACCAAGTGAACGATTATCGACTCTAATACAAACAATCAACATTTAGAGGACCAATTAATACATACAGATAATTGCATGTATATGTCCAATATTTACCTATCCATAAACTAAGTAAAACCTTATAGCCTCACATATAAACGACCGACGTGTCTATCACTGAACTCCGTAAATGTTTTTTTTAGAGGTTAATATAAATTATCAATTTTTTTGTTTAAATTTGAACCAATATTTAGTTATGGAAATTTATAACAACAATTTTATCCGTTCTGAAAAAATTTTGTTATATTATAGACTAATTTGTTATTCAAAATCATATCTTTTTTTTATATGTTTGCATATATTTTCATCAATTTTACCTTTCCTGAACCAAGTAAAAACAATAGACTTTAAAAGACGAAAGCAAAGAAAAAATCTATATAATAAATGTGAAGTTATCAAAATGTGTCTATCATTCACACCTTTTCATTTCAAAGTCCTAGGGGCCGTAGCTCAATATATCATATAAAAAATATTTGAAATAAGGTCTTTACTTCTGTTTCTTGAATTTTTCATTTCGGTTCGGATCCAGGCCCTTTAATCCTGAAAAATGGATTTCAAATTTTTTATGATTGGGATTGTTTTCAAATATATAAGAATGTTATCCAAATGAAAAATTGAATATCCTTTTAAATTATGTAAAAAACAGTTGGTTGGGTATTTTGTTTCATTTTAAATAAATAATTATATGAAAACAGTGAAACAAAAAATTCATACATACATACATACATATATACTGTTTGGTAGGATCCACCTAATTTGCATAGTGGAGTACCGACCATATAAATATGGTTGGTACCGGGAAGAAGAGGAGGAATCAAGAGATTCAACCAGAGACTCTGCCCGACTGCGACTCAGTCAACACATTCTCCAGGAACGGTCTTACCAGGAATATACAAAAGACTATATGTAAATATTGTGTACCCTTTCTTGTTTCAATACATTTTGTTCTAAGTACCTTTTGTGTTGCATTATTATTCCATGCATTAGTCAAGTTTCAAACATACATATACATTAAAAAATATTATATATATAAAAATATTATAAAATTTAACTTCGTTAACATGTGAATTTTGTGCTTTTAAAATTAATGGAGATGTTCACGGGACTAATAATTTCCAAGGATATATTTAAACAAAATAATGAAACTGAAAAAATTAATTAAAATTGGTAAAAAAAACAAAAAAAAAAATAAACATTTTTATTCTGAAAAATCAATTTTACATACCTAAAATATTTTGTAGAACGAAATATTTTGAAGCAAATTCAATATAATCAAAATAATTTTGAATGATATGCATACATAAATTAAATAAATATATATATATATAGGCTTTTCTTATCTATATACAAAAATCAGAAAGAAAAATGGACATTTCGAGACTGAAAATTCAATTTATCGAAGAAATTAATTGATTTCAATAAACTTGACAAAAAAAATTTTTGAAAACAATTTTTCCATCTCTTTTAAGGTTTGAATCAAATAACTAGTTATTTTCTGATCCCGTTGCCTAGAAATTTTTTAAGCAATTAGGAGAAAATTGATTAAAAATTTATATTTAAAAATCTTTTTAGTTTATTTAAATAAAAATATTTTTATACGATCTTTTAAAAAGTTAAAACGAAGCATATGTATTTTGAACCTCATAAAAACTTTATTTGTTAAAGGAGGTTATACATTCATAAAAATAAAAAAAAAAAACTTATTATTTATCATATTAAAAAAGAATCGTCAAAACATTTCTAATTTACCTAAATATTTGACAAGGTTTCGAAAATGATTCTTTTGGGATTTTAACAAAACCAAAAGTTAAATTAGTTTTGATTTCATTTAAATAATGAGATAATGTGATTTAAAGCGCACACAAACTGAAAGTTTTCTGGAAGGAAAATAGATTTCACCGAACCTTTATTTTGGTTCTTTCAAAATTTAAATCTGAAATTCTTAACAAACGTTGATTTCATTATAAGTAGGAAACACGGAAATTTTAAACAAATATATTTTTTATTCTTTTATTGATTTTCTCAAATATTGAAATATCTATAATCTTATGGTGACAAAACTGGAATGTGAATAATGATGAAAATATATATAATTTAAAATAAATGAAAAAAAAATCTTTATATTAAAAATACAGGAAGAGATAGTTGAAAATCATTTTGATAGATTTCCAAAATGAAAGATACCAAAGATAGATAAATATGAGAAACGACGAAAGACCCCCAATAAAACAAAAATAAAATTATACTGAACATTCATGGAAAGAATAGAAATTTTTTCTACAGAAGGATGCTGAAGGATACCATGGACTGAACATGATGATAAATGAATTTTGATTATAGATTAAAAAAAAAAAATCATTTAATAGATAGATCAAAGAAAAAGACATTGAAAATTAATTATAAGAAGGATGCTGAGGAGATAGATAAATATGGACTGAACATGTGAAAACAACGAAATTTTAGAAAAAAAAAAAAAAAAAAAGAAATTTATACTTAACATCAGGAAGAGACAGTTGAAATTTCTACAGAAGGATGCTGAGGATACCATGGACCGAACATGTGAGCAACGATGAGGTTTTAGAGAAAATGGAAACAAAAATGAAACTTATACTTAACATCAAAAGAGACAGTTGAAATTTATACAGAAGGATGCTGAGGATACCATGGACCGAACATGTAGGCAACTTTGATAATAAAAAAGAGAAAATGGATAAACAAAAAAAACTTATATTAACATCAGGAATAGAACGGTTGAAATTTCTAGAGAAGGATGCTGAGGATACCATGGACCGAACATTTGAGCAACGATGAGGTTAGATAGAGAAAATAATAAAAAAAACAAAAGAAAACTTATACTTAACATCAGGAAGAGACAGTTGATTTTTTTTCAAACAAAGGATGCTGAGGATACCATGGACCGAACATGTGAGCAACGATGAGGTTTTAGAGAAATTGGAATCAAATTGAAACTTATACTTAACATCATTTTTTAGAATTTATATTTTGAAACCATCTACAGAAAATGCTGAGGATACCATGGACCGAAAATGTGAGCAACGACGATGGTTTTAGAGAAAATGGAAAAAAAATGATTTATGTTTAACATCAGGAAGAGACAGTTGAAATTTCTACAGAAGGATGCTGAGGGTTACCATGGACGAGAAAAAATGTGAGCAACGATGAGGTTTTAGAGAAAATGTAAACAAAAATGAAATTTATTTTAAACATTGGGGAAGAGACAGTTGAAATTTTTACAGAAGGATGCTGAGGATACCATAGACTGAACATATTGAGCAACGACGATGGTTTAAAGAGAAAATGGAAACAAAAAGGAAAACTTATATTTTAACATCAGGAAGAGACAGTTGAAATTTTTTTAAACAGAAGGATGCTGAGGATACCAATTTGAACATGTTGAATGAGCATGATTTGAATTTTTACAGAAAATGGAAAAAAAAAGAAACTTATACTTAACATCAGGAATGAGACAGTTGAAATTTTCTCAGAAGGATGCTGATGAGGATACCATGGACCGAAAATGTGAGCAACGATGACTTTTTAGAGAAAATGGAAACACTTTTATTTTTATACTTAACATCAGGAAGAGACAGTTGAAATTTCTGACAGAAGGATGCTGATTGAAATACCATGGACCGAACATGTGTTGAGCAACGATGAGGTTTTAGAGAAAATGGAAACAAAAATGAAACTTATGTAGATTAACATCAGGAAAGACAGTTGAAATTTCTACAGAAGGAATCTGAGGATACCATGGACCGAACAAAAAATGAGCAACGACGATCATAAAGAAAATGGAATCAAAAATGTAAACTTATATCTGAAGGAAAACAGTTAAATTTAATCCAGAAGGATGTTGAGGATACCATGGTTTGAACATGTGAGCAACAACGAGGTTTTAAAAGAAAATGGAAATCCAAAAAGAAATTTATACTTAACATCAGGAAGAGACAGTTCTTGTTTCACTACAGATGGATCAGCTGAGGATACCATGGACCGAACATCTGAGCAACGATAATCAGAGTTTTTAAGAGAAAATGTTAAAAAAAGTGAAACTGCCCTTGTCATCAGGAATAGACAGTTGAAATTTCTACAGAAGGATCTGAGGATACCATGGATTTCCATTTAGACTGAATGATGTTTTAGAAAATCCATGTCAAAATGAAATGTAGAAAAAACATCAGGAAGAAAAGTTGAAATTTCTAACAGAAGGATGTTGATAATACAAATCGACTGAACATGTCATCAACGACGATGGTTTAGAGAAA